GTTATGTCGACCCCCGGGCTCCAGGAAAGAAAGCAGACCTGGAGGCTCTTTTGCCTTTTTCCTTAAAGGGGCTTAGAGGCTCCATATTAGGGTTTAGGGTTTAGGGTTTAGGGTTTAGGGTTTAGGCTCCATATACCTGTATAATGTATACTTAGGCAGACAAAGAGGGACCCCTGTAAGGCCTAAGTATATACTTTCCGGGTACATGGAGCCGCAACCTACCTGTAGTCTCCAAGGCAGTATGTGTGTCTACACAAACGAGTCACAGCAGCAGAAACAGCTGACATCACGAGAAGCAGCAGAAGAGTAGCACCACTCGATCGGAGCTTCCACTGCGCCGAAAGCCAAAATCCTGACCCGAAGCTCCAAAACGCGAAATTCCAAACATGCGCCTGGGCTTTGTGGTGCATTACATTACCAACCCTATAAACCCTATAAAGCCCAAAGCCCGCAACCCTAACCCTAAGGTTCGGTCTCCTACATTTTGCTCGAGACCCCGAACGAGAAGCCATGGGTAGGCCTTACCTTAAACTACCAAACCCTACTTTTTTGTAGGTTCCTATTACAAACCCTAGTATGGAATTTATAGGGACCCTACAAAAAAGTAGGGTTTTGGTAGGTTAAGGTAAATCCTAAAGCTCTAAAGCCTGAATGGCGCTCTTCCAAGGAATCCACTGAATGGTGTGAACGATCTCCAGCTCATCCCAGGACTTTGTCTTTAATGCTCCCTAAACCCTAAACCCTAAGCCCTAAACCCTAAACCCTAAACCCCTTGGAGACTTGACTTTGCTCGGTTTGCTTGATGTCTTGGTGGTCATTTGCATCTTCCTTCATGCTCCGGAGGTGTGGGGTTGGTCGATGGTTGCTTGGGCTTTTGGTTCAAGTTGATAAGCGCTGGATGCTTCCAGGATCCCTAGGCCCTGAACCGGTGTTGGGTAGACCCTGTTACATCAGCACGCGCGTTCGGAGGCTTGCACGACTTTGCAAGCGAGACCTATAAAGACGCCAGCTTTCAAAGATAAGCTTCCTGGGGTTCTATCGTCCCTACTATACAAGGGTTTAGAGTTTGGAGTTTAGGTTTGGTGTTTAGGGTTTAGGGGGTAGGGTTTACAAGCTTCCAGGAATTCTTTCGTCCCTGCTGTATAAGGGTTTAGGGTTTGGGGCTTAGGTTTTAGGGTTTAGGATTTAGGGTTTATAATCTTCATGGAATTCTGTCGTCCCTACCATATAAGAGTTTAGGGTTTAGGGGACTGAGATTCCGGTCTGTGCTCCAGGCTGGACCAAAGTCCATTTCATTGAACGGAATTTAAGTCAGGGCGCCTGGTCTGGCGAACGGAGGTACCCTAAACCCTAAACCCTAAACCCTAAACTAAACGTCACGCTTGCGGCAGGCAACACAGGAAAACAATCAAGGCGCAGCGACATGTCAGGTCTGCGGCTCGAGATATCCGATTGGTGACGTAAATGCGACAGCCTGGTCCAACGATGCACTTGCTTCGCTCCGGCCGTGATGCAAGAAACCCGGATAAGGACAATGTCTCGAAGTCAAGTTCGTGGCATGAGACGGGAGACTGGTGATGTAAGTGCGCAACACATGTGGGCAAAATTTCAGGGGAGCCTCCGGCGATGCACTTGCTTCGCTCCATCCATGCTGCAGGCACGCAGAAACGAGGCAGGTCCTGAAGCCAAGTTGGGTCCGCATACCCATCCTATACCAAGAAATATGGGGGCAGTCATACAGTGACAGATGGAGAGGTGTAATATAGGGGCCTTCACAATTAGAATAGGGTTTTGGGGTATATTATACTATAGTTCCAATAATAATAAGGAACCCCCAAAATAGTATTGGTAATTATTTAGGCCCCCTACATTACGGCCCCCTGCGGTCATGCTGCCATGCTCAGTGGTGAATTGCCGGGCAAGGCCCACTCCGTTTGTGGCAACCATGTGTAAAGCCTGCTTACAACCTCAAGGTGTTCCTCCACGAGCTGGGTAGTTCTCTAAATCAGGGTTCCTTCTAAGGTCCTTTTATAAGGGTGCCGTACTATATTTGCTACCTAGAAAGGGACCCTAATTTAGAAAACTACTCAGCTTGAACCACTATTAGCCAGGGATAGTCAGGGTCTCCGGTTCAGGGTTTAATATCGGGGCCTTAATAATTGGAACAGGGTTTTGGGGTATATGCCGCTGTAATCAGAATAAGGAACCCCCAAGACCTCCCTAAACCCTAAACCCTAAACCCTAAACCCTAAACCCTAAGTCTAATTATTAAGGCCACTACATTAGGGACACCGACGTGCCGAGGACGAACAGCCCTAAACCCTAAACCCCTAAACCCCGAGCCACCCATGGGTTTAGGGTTTAGGGTTTAGGGTTTAGGGTTTAGGGTTTAGGGTTTAGGGTTTAGGGCCCTAGCCACCTAAACCCTATAAGCCCTAACCGCCTAGACCTTAAAAGCCCCTAAGCCCAGCCCAAACATGCAGTTGTCGTCACCGCTACAGGCCCGCATTTCAGCATAGAGTGCCCTTTTCCATATCGCATTTGTTTCGGGGTCTCCCAGTGGGCCCTTTTTCCCTTTTTGAAGTCTTTGGTTCCTTATAAAGGTAGTCAATACCCCAGAAAAGGGAGCCATTTTTGATCCTAAACCCTAAACCCTAAACCTCCTAGGTTACTGGGCATCCTAGTAAAACCCCTGGCCTGAATCTAGCCCCTGATGCCGTGCTGACCCCGACATGCGACGATCTGGACCTAGAGCAACTAGAGGAGTTTGAAGGCTCCGCAAGAATCTCTCATTGCACAGCCGACACGTTGAGGCAGGACATCTTGGATTAGCCGGAAAGGTCCTGGCTAGAATCGAAGAGTACGACGAACAAATCTGGAACGCAAAGCTCTGTGCCTTCGTCCAGGTGGGCGATTAGCCAAGCGCCTCCTCTTGCGCTGCAAGTAGGACAGCCTTTGCTGGGTTGGGGCTTAGGGCAGGCTTTGATTTTCAGTTTTCTTTAGGAGCCTTGGCCTAGAATCTAGAATGGGGATCCTATTAGGGTAATCCCAAAAAGGAACTACTATGGGGCCTTTGGCTAGAATCTAGAATCGGGGAAACGCGGCCGCGACAGTAACTCCAATCTCTCCAGTGTAGAGCCTTACCCAGACCCCAAAAGGATCTAAAAAATAGATCCCCTAAGGGGGTTCCTATAAAGTACCCTTTAGTAGTTGGGGTCCCTAATTAGGGGATCTCTTTTTTTAGATCCTTTCGGGGGTTCTGGGTTATGTAGCTCTTGAAGTTGCCTTCAACCCAAAAAACTTGGTTGAAAGGCTGAGCTACTTCAGGACGAGAGCCCGAGCGATTCAGCGATTCAGCGGATGACGGTGACGATGGTGATGCTGCCTATGAAGGGTAAGGGGACCTGCAAGAATCGGAGGATGCCACTGCTAATGGTGTGAGGGTTCAGAGATGTTCAGAGGTTCACTACTGCCAAGATGGTAGAAAGCGCTATGGCGGAGGAGGAGGACAGTTCGCCCAACAACAACACAGCAGCAACACCAGCAGAAATTTCAGAAGCAATGCACAGCATAAAGCAAGCTTCCGGAGGAACAGCCGTTCATGTGAGGAATCGATTTGGGCAGCATCGTGATGGTAGAGCTGCCAAACACGCACCAGCTGTCCTATTTCGGTGCCTTGGGTAGACTGTTGGATTCCTCCATGGTGTCTTAGGATTTCGGGGGCTTAGGGTCGAATGCTTGCGAGGGAGAGAGAGGTTTTAGAGCTTAGGGCTTGGCGTTTTGAAAAAGTTTTGACTGTTAGGCTATATAGAGTTTAGGGTTGTGCACGCAGCAGTGAGACGCCAAACTTGACAAGACCCATGATGCAATAAAGAACAAAGACTGCTGACAAGTATCGCAAGCGTTATGTAAGGCAATGGAAGCAGATTTACAAGCACCAAGACCTTGTACAACAATACTTTGCTTGTTGGCACACTCTGCGCAGCCAGGTGGGTGCTGGGAGAAGCATCAGAAAGCGGTAGCACGTCTTGCGCAAATCACAAAATTCTTGACTTGCCGCAAGCCCGCAACCCTCAGCCCACCGAATCCGCACCCAGTGACCGCAACGCTCCGAAAAGTATGGAATACTCGTCCATTCTAGAAGGACCCTCAATATAATTTAATTTGAAGTATACTTGCCTTGGGATTTTGGGTGCACAGCGTAGGGTGAAGAGTTGCTAGTATTATGGCTTCGTCGAAGAGTTGCTAGTATTATGCCTTCAGTCTCTTTCATAATAGAAATATACTATAGTTGTACCCGGCAACAAGGCACCTATATTCTGCGTCTCCAACCTTTAAACACAAATCATCTCAAAACCAATGCAGCCGTCGCCGTAGACTGTTCTGATTTCTATTTCTTTGGCCTTGCCCCCTAAATCCCTAGAACCTATAATCTCCTTGCCCCCGAAATCCCTAGAACCTATAATCTCCTTGCCCCCTAAATCCCTAGATCCTATAATCTCCTTGCCCCCTAAATCCCTAGAACCTATAATCTCCTTCCCCCCTAACTCCCTAGATCCTATAATCTTATGCCGTAGAACAATGCCAAACCCTAAGGGTCCAAGTAGTCCTTATTTATGGTTTTAGGTACCCAAGAAGGCCCCAAAGCCTTAAATAATGGGCACTTGGACCCTTAGGGAAAAAGCTTTGAGCTGCACAGCCTCAGGCACTGCCGTCGAAGGCGCACGTCGACTGGCTGCGCCTCGGGTGTAGATTTCGCTGGTTTTGCGCTTAGCTTAGGGGTGCAGGCTTAGGAATTATGGTTTAGGGTTTAGGGTTTAGGGTTTAGGGTTAGGGTTTATAGAACCCTGCTGTTCAGGTGTGTTCGCTGGCACACAATCCAAGCCCATGCTGAAAAGGGTTTATAGAAGGTTCTGGACTGTTGCACAACACAATACATGCAGCCGTGTTTTTGAAACCTGTCGCAGGTCTGCCGTATGTCTTGAGTTTTGAGCACTGTTGACTCAGTGTTCGATTGGGTTTTGTTTCGTCATCTTCAATTCATAGGTTTCAGATGGCTTCGGCTTGAGCCTCACGGGGTGGAGTTCAGAGTTGCGGGGTTGGGAGTGTCTGCACTTTCGTGATGATTGCTGGTCCGTCACATGTGGGTGACATGATGATGATAATGGTGATGATGGTGATGGTGATAGTGTCGTTGTCTGCATTCTACTAGTGCAAAACTAGCTCTGTGATCAAGATTCCGCTACGCGCACCACTGAAGTAAGCGAGGACGTGAAAGACGCATTGTGCATGACCGGTGTGGGGGGGATCGGCAGAGCCTGGGTTCAAAAAGAGTGTGTGGGGAGGGAATAAATGTCAACGTTCCCCCACAGCTGTGGCTGTCCGGGGTGGCCCCTGGTAATGTCATCCACGTCGCGACCCTCAATGGAGTCCACATTACCTGTAAGCACCATTCATACAGAAGAAGCTTGGCCCGCGGCAAGATGCCGTGAGCTTCAGAGTCGTCAGAATGCCATGAACGCCATGGTTCCGCATCGTAAACAGGCACTTTAGCCGCTTTTACATCGCCAGCACTGACTTCATTCTGGAAGCGGCTCAAGCCTTGGAGCATGTTGCGTGTTTGGACACCTGGAGGTGATGAGATGGTTACCATGCCAGTGGAAGAGGCGATCGATGTGACTTCGTTAAAGAAACAACTCCAGAAGTTTTGCGGTCTTCCCCGGTTTAGACAGCGGCTTCTGCGAGAATCTGTGGTGCTGGATGATGATACAAAGCTGTCGTCTCCAGCAGACTTACAGCTGGTATTGCTCCCGTTTGCAGATGTTGACCGCTCGCAAATCACGAGCATCGTCAGCGCCGCACAGAGTGGGCGAGCCTCAGCAGTTGAGGAGATGTTGAAGCTTCCACAAGATCCAAGCCTTGGCGATCATGAGTCACGAACAGCTCTTCATGGAGCATGTATGAATGGCCACATGGATGTGGTGCAACTCTTGCTAGAGTCTGCCTGCGACATGAATGCCACTGACAACACCGGCAGGACCGCTCTGCACCTGGCATCCGGAAACGGTTACTGGGCTTTGGAGTACCATACTTTCATACTTTTTTGGGGACTTGTTCCTTAAAGGAACCATTATGAAATAAAAGTCCTATACTTTTTTCTCCCTGGTTACTTCAAAGCCCAGGTTATGTGAAGATCTTGCGCTTGCTGGTGGAGTCTGCAGCACACCTGGACCTAAGAGACGCTTGGTAGGCCATTGGAATATGGGAATGTCTTAACGGTTTAGGGTTTAGGGTGTAGGGTTCATAGGCCCAAGAGTAGTTCCTTGTTGTGGCTTCTATTTAGGATCCTATTAGGTCCTCCTAAAAAGGAACTAGTATGGGGCCTATGGGTAGCATTTGGGAGTTTCAGGCAGTTCTTTACGGGAAAGCCTTACCACACTTTTTGGAACCTTCACTGTAAACACTCTACGCCTTTTTCAACGGCATCCAGGACCGCTTTGGCAACACAGCTCTGCATGTGGCAGCCTGCGAAGGTATGCTGGGCTCCGTTCGTGCCCTGTTTCGGGGCCCTTGTTCAGGAACTTAGGGTGTCATACTGAGTTACTGTAAAGGTGTTACCGGTTTGTAAGGGATGTATAAAAGTTTCTATATAGGGTGTTCATGAAGGAACTTAGTTCAGTTGCCATAAACGGGATGTATCGCTGTACGTTGTATGCTTTCCTCGTTCGGTTCACTTGAAGCGCAACCCAGGTTGCAGTCGGGCATATGCAAAGACATGGTCGACCATTCCGGCCGTACTGCGCTGCACGACGCGTCTCAGAGTCTTGTTTTTGTTTGTAGGGTTTAGGTCTCGGGTTTGGGGTTTAGGGTTTACGTCTCACTGTGCCTAAGATCGATGTCTGCTAATTATCTGATTGTGGTCAGCGCGTTATTGTCATCTTTGCCACATAGGCACCACGTCATAGTCCGATTGCGGACAGTCCCATGTGTATTAGCAAACACAAAATGTGACGGAAGCCTTGACAAAGACGTGCGCACACAAACACACAACAAACACACACGTGCACAAATGTGTATATAGTATATAAATATATACACATAGATACGCATGTATATATATATATACATATATCTATCTATCTATCTATCTATCTATCTATCTACCTATCTATCTATCTATCTATCTATCTATCTATCTATCTGGCTTGGTTAAGCGCAAGAAGCACCTGATGTTGTTGTTATTGTTGTTGTGGTTTTGTTGTTGGTTGTTGGTTGTTTGTTGTTGGTTGTTGGTTGTTGGTTGTTGGTTGTTGGTTGTTGTTGTTGTTGTTGTTGTTGTTGTTGTTGTTGTTGTTGTTTTTGTTGTTGTTGTTGGTTCTTGTTGGTTGTTGTTGGTTGTTGTTGTTGTTGTTGTTGTCGTTGTTGTTGTTGGTGTAGTTGTAGTTGTGGTTGTTGTAGTTGTTGTTGTTGTTGTTGTTGTTGTTGTTGTTGTTGTTGTTGTCGTTGTTGTTGTTGTTGTTGGTGTAGTTGTAGTTGTAGTTGTTGTAGTTGTTGTAGTTGTTGTTGTTGTTGTTGTTGTTGTTGTTGTTGTTGTTGCTGCTTATCTTAAGCCTTGGCCGTGAGAAGTTTAGAGAATCAAGCAGCCCAGCGCCTGAGACCAAAATGAATCCCAGCG